TCAGGCAGTCCACTCACCTCGGCCTCCTAAAGTGCTGGGATTACAGGCTGAGCCTGGCCTACTCTAAGGTCTTATATGATCTTGCATATTGCCTGGGCACATGTGTGACTTTCTAAATTTCCCCATATACCTCTGCTTTGGAATGTCCTAATTTTCCTAAGAGTTTCACCCCAACGTCTCTGGGCCTCCACCCATGATGTCTTGCTCCAGGTATCTGTGATTCTGTAGTCTGTTTTGCAACTTTCATTAGCAGTGTCTACTGTTTTTCCCACCTAACTTTTGAGTTAGGTTGAAACAGAGACAAGCACTTTAGTTCTTTAACAATCAAGATAGAGTAGAACAGATATACGATAATTTGCAAATAAGGTCTTGTTTTGTTTATTAAGGGAGGGAGCTGGAAATTGGGCTACCACTGCTTTAAGACCAATACCACTATTATGCTGGAGAGGGGATGCGGCAAAGGCAAGTACAAACACCACAGAATTTTCCTACTGTTTTGAGGATGGCTTTTCTTTTTGTTTTTGAGTCAGAGTCAGGGTCTCACTGTGTCACTCAGGCTGGAATGCAGTGGCACAACCACAGCTTACCTTAACCTTGGCCTCCTGGGCTCAAATGACTCAGCCTTTTGAGTAGGTGGAACTACTACATGTGCACACCGCCACTTGTGGCTAATTTTTAAAATTTTTTTATTTTTGTAGAGATGAGGTCCTGCTATGTTTATTGCCTAGGCTGGTCTTAAACTTCTGGGCTCAAGCAATCCTCTCACCTTGGACTCCTTAAGTGCTTGGATTACAGACATGAGCCACTGCATCCAGTGGCTTTTTCTTGATTAAGCATCTGCTTGGTTGCAGTAAACCTTTGACTATTTTCTAAAGCTCTGACAAAGTTGGTTCAGACAGTTACTGCTTGTTTTATGTTTCTGTGGGGGGAATGAGACCTTATAACTTCCTAATCTGCCATTTTGATGACCTGTGAGTTGACTTTTCACTTTCTTGATAGTGTCCTTTGATGCATAGAAGTTTTTAATTTTGATGAAGTTCACTTAATCTATTTTTTTTTTTTTTTTTTGAGTCGGAGTCTCACTCTGTCGCCCAGACTGGAGTGCAGTGGCCATTCCCGGCCACCGCAGCCTCGACCTGCTGGGCTCCGGCAATCCTTCCGCCTCAGCCTTCCAAGTAGCCAGAATTACAGGGATACACTACCACGCCCAGCTGATTTTTTTGATTTATTGTAGAGATGAGGTCTCGCCTGCCCAGGCGGATCTCGAACCCGTGGGCTCAGGCAATCCACTTTCCTCAGCCTCCCAAAGGCGCGGGATTACAGGCTGAGCCACCGAGCCCGGCTCACTTAATCTATTTTTTGTTTTGTTTCTTGTGCTTCAGTTGTTGTTTGTTTGTATGTATGTATGTATTTATTTATTTATTTTTGAGTTGGAGTCTCACTCCCAGTCGCCCAGACTGGAGTGCAGTGGCACACTCCCGGCTACTGCAGCCTCAAGCTGCTAGGCTCCAGTGATTCTTCCACCTCAGCCTTTTCCAAGTAGCTGGAACTACAGGTGCACTCTACCACGCCCAGCTAATTTTTTATTTATTGTAGAGACGAGGTCTTGCCAAGTTGCCCGGGTGGGTCTTGAACCCGTGGACTCAGGCAGTCCATTTGCCTTGGCCTCCCAAAGTGCTGGAATTACAGGCTGAGCCACCAATCCCGGCCCATTTGTCATATTTAAGAAACCATTGCCAAATCCAAGGTCATGAATATTTGTTTCTTTTTCAGTTAGCTACAACAAAGGTCCTGGTAGTAACTTCTCAGCTTGACTTGAGTTACATGTCTGTCTTCAACGCAATGACTGTAGTGAGGTTAATAGATTATTTTAATTGGCCAGATTGGGTGGTGTAGGATCAGCCATATGGACTGAGATTGGAGGTAATACTAAAAGGCTGTTTCCAAAAATGAAGGGTGAATTAATGCTAGAGTAATAAATTCTTTCCTTCCTCCCTCCCTCTTTCATTTTTTTTTTTTTCTTTTTTGAGTTGAAGTCTCACTCTTTCGCCCAGACTGGAGTGCAGTGGTCGCTCCCGGCCTTGACCTGCTGGGCTCCGGCTATCCTTCCGCCTCAGCCTTCCGAGGAACTGGAGCTACAGGTGTGCGCTACCACGCCTGGCTAATTTTTTAATTTATTGTAGAGATGAGGTCTTGCCAAGTTGCCCAGGCCGGTCTCGAACCCACAGGCTCAGGCAATCCACTCACCTCAGCCTCCCAAAGGCGCAGGATTACAGGCTGAGCCACCGAGCCCGGCTTCTCCCTCATTTTTTTGAGTCAAAGTCTCACTCTGTCACCCAGGCTGGAGTCCCGGCCACTGCAGCCTCGACCTGCTGGGCTCTGGTGATCCTTCCGCCTCGGCCTTCCAAGTAGCTGGAACTACAGGTGCACACCACTATGCCTGGCCAATTTTTTGATTTATTGTAGAAACGAAGTCTCGCCATGTTGCCCAGGCTGATCTCGAACCCCTGGGCTCAAGTAATCCACTCACCTTGGCTTCCCAAAGTGCTGGAATTACAGGCGTGAGCCACATGCTCAGCTTCATATTTATTTAATTGAGCAAGTATGAAGAATTTCTAGTACATTAAAAAGTTTATGATGTCCCAGAGTATACTTAGGAAAAAAAATCTAACCGGGCTCGGTGACTCAGCCTGTAATCCCACGCCTTTGGGAGGCTGAGGTGAGTGGACTGCCTGAGTCTGCAGGTTTGAGACCCACCTGGGCAACTTGGCGAGACCTCATCTCTACAATAAATAAAAAATCAGCCGGGCGTGGTAGCGCGCGCCTGTAGTTTCAGCTACTTGGTAGGCTGAGGCAGAAGGATTGCCAGAGCCCAGCAGGTCGAGGCTGTGGTGTCTAGGAGCGGCCACTGCACTCTAGTCTGGGCGACAGAGTGAGACCCCAACTCAAAAAAAAAAAAAGAAAGAAAAAAATCTTTTAATTTTTTATTGGTAGAAACAAGGTCTCACTATGTTGCCCAGGCTACTCTTGAACTCCTGGTCTCAAGCAGTCCTCCTGTGTCAGCTTCCCAAAGTGCTGAGATTACAGGTTTGAGCCACTGTGCCCAGCCAGAGCATACACTGTTTTGTTTTGTTTTTGTTTTTGTTTTGATTCGGAGTCTCACTCTGTTGCCCAGGCTGGAGGATAGCAGCATGCTCACAGCCACCACAGCCTTAATCTGCTGGGCTCAGACAGTCCTTCTGTCTCAAGCTTTCAAGTAGCTGGAACTACAGGCATGTGCTACCACGCTCGGCTTATTTATTTATTTATTTTTTAGAAAAGAAAAGTTTATTTAAAAGTAAATTAAGCCGGGCTCGGTGGCTCAGTTTGTAATCCCACACCTTTGGGAGGCTGAGGTGAGTGGATTGCCTGAGCCCGCGGGTTCGAGACCCGCCTGGGCAGCAAGACCTCATCTCTACAATAAATCAAAAAATCAGCCAGGTGTGGTAGTGCATGCCTGTAATTCCGGCTACTTGGAAGGCTGAGGCAGAAGGATCACCGGAGCCCAGCGGTTTGAGGCTGTGGTGGCCGGGAGCGGCCACTGCACTCCAGTCTGGGTGACAGAGTGAGACTCCAACTCAAAAAAAATAAAAAAAGTAAAGAGAGAAAAAGAAGGAAGAAAGAACATTCACCTTCCCGAGGTGGGGAAGGAGTACCAAAGCCAGGAAGCATGGCGACAGCCATGGCTCAAAGAGCACATGGCCACACCAGACTCTGGCAAGGCATTGGCCCTATTTTTTATTTTTTTAATTTATTGTAGAGACGAGGTCTTACCAAGTTGCCCAGGCCAGACTTGAATCCCTGAGCTCAGGCAGTCCTTTTACCTCAGCCTCCCAAAGTGCTGGGATTACAGGTTTGAGTCACCGTGCCTGGCCTTGTATACACATTTTAGATAAAATGTATTTTTCATTTAGGTGCGGTGTCTCATGTCTGTAATCCCAGCACTTTGGGACACCAAGGCAGGCGGATTACTGGAATGCAGAAGTTTGAGACCAGCCTAGACAACATAATAAAAGCTCATCACCACAGAAAATCAGAAAATTAGCCAGACGTGGTGGCACACACCTATAGTCCCAGCTACTTGGGGAAGTATCTTGAGACCAGGAGGTCGAGGCTGTCATGAGCTGTGATCATCGTGGTCATGCCATTGTACTCGAGCCTAGGCAACAGAGTAAGACCCTGATTCAAAAAATAAAAAATGGGCCAGACTCAGTGGATCAGCCTGTAATCCCGTGCTTTGGGAGGCTGAGCCCGCGGTTTTGAGATTTGCCTGGGCAACTTGGTGAGACCTCATCTCTACAATAAATCAAAGATTAGCCAGGCGTGGTAGCGTGCGCCTGTAGTTCCAGCTCCTTGGAAGGGTGAGGTGGAAGGATCACCGGAGCCCAGTGGGTCGAGGCTGGGGTGGCCGTGAGTGTGCCCCTGCACTCCAGCCTGGGCGACGGAGTGAGACTCCAACTCAAAAAATAAAAAACAAAAAAACAAACAATAAAAAATGGCCAGGCTCAGTGACAGCCTGTAATCCCGTGCTTTGGGAGACCGTGGTGAGTGAATTGCCTGAGCCCACGGGTTCGAGACCTGCTTGGACGACTTGGTGAGACCTCATCTCTACAATAAATCAAAAATATTAGCCGGGCATGGTAGCGCACACCTGTGTTCTAGCTACTTGGAAGACTGAGGCGGAACGATCGCTGGAGTCCAGCAAGTCGAGGCTGCAGTGGCCGGGAGGGTGCCACTACACACCAGTCTGGGCGACAGAGTGAGACTCCAACTCAAAAAAATAAATAAATAAAAAACAAAAGTATATTTTTCTTGTTATAAATTTAATATGTAAATATTTTTAAATGACCTCTAAAATTATCATTGTTTCTGAGGTCCCCAATAAACCAAGCAGGGGAAAACTAGTTTAGCCTTTACTTTATGTTCTAAAGTACTTAATTTTTGTGGTTTGTTTTGTACAGGTATTGCTGTAACCGGAGTTTTTTAGAAAAAGGATCTGCTTATTGGGCCCCTCTTGACATAGAAAGAGATGTGGGGGGATTCTCGATCTACTAATAGAACAGGACCTTTTCGGTAAGTCCTGAAATTTGAATATTGAATTTGTTAATGTTTTATTTTTTGATTTTGTTAATATTTTAATGGTAACTATGTAGTATAACATTTTGGACTGTCATAAAGGAAAATATTTTCTTTGTGGAGAAATAGCTCTGATTTTAAAAAATAGAAACTTAAAAAAAGTTGCTTGTTACTTCTAAGATGATTGTGAGACTTAATACCCAGCGTGCCTAATGTCTTGTTTTATAACATGTTTTTTAAACATTAAAAATCCCCCAAATAGAATATTTATTTTTATTTTTTTTAGCAAGGTAATACTTGGTTAGTAAGGAAAGCTAGGAAAATATACATATATGTTTGCAAAAGTTCTATTAAATTCACTATTTCATGTCTAGAATCCAGAGCTATGCCTTGCTTATGGCTTGTTGATGCCTTTTGCTAAGCTGCATCTCAATTTTAGGGGTTACTAGGTACCAAGAAGAGTAGAAAAGGTGGTAGTATTCAGTTGTAAATAGATTGTATTTTAGATTTATAGGGAGTTAATTTTTTTTTTTTTTAAGTTGGAGTCTCACTCTGTCACTAAGGCTGGAGTGCAGTGGCATGCTCCCGGCCACTGCAGCCTTGGCCTACTGGGCCCAGGTGATCCTTCTGCCTCAGTCTTCCAAGTAGTTGGAACCACAGGCATGTGGCACCATGCCCGGCTAACTTTTTGATCTGTTGTAAGGATGAGATCTCGCCATGTTGCTCAGGCTGGTCTTCATCCCCGGAGCTCAGACAGTCTGCTTGCCTCCACCTCCCCCTCCCAAAATACTGGGATTATAGGTGTGAGCCACTATGCCTAGCTGGGTTAATTTTATTTATTGATTTGAGTCAGAGTCTCACTGTCACCCAGGCTGGAGTGCGGTGGCATGCTCACGGCCACCGCAGCCATGACCTGCTGTGCTTCTAAGATGGCTATCCTTCTGCCTTAGGCTATCCTTCTGCCTTAGGCTATCCTTTGGCCTTAGCCTTCCAAGTAGCTGTAACTACAGGTGTGTGCCATCACACCCAGTTAATTTTTTATTTATTGTAGAGACGAGATCTCACCAAGTTGCCCATGCTGGTCTTGATCCCTTGGCTCAGGCAATCTTGTCACCTGTCTCCCAAAGTGCTGGGATTATGGGTGTGAGCCACCATGCCTGGCAGTAATTAATTTTTTTATAACCAACATAATTCACACTCTATTTTATTTTATTTACTTTTTTTTTAGTTGAATTCTCACTCTCTTGCCCAGACTGGAGCACAGTGGCACGATCATGGCCACTGTAGCCTCAACTTGCTGGGCTCAGGCGATCCTTCTGCCTCAGCTTTCCAAGTAACTGGAACTGCAGATGTGCACCACCATTCCCGACTAATCACACACTATATTTTAAAAACTTTTGTATAGTGTGTGAAATTAATGAAATGCCATGTGAATGCAACTTTTATGGTTTTACGTCTTAGTACAACGCAAAGAAATCTGACCTTTAAATATAGGCATTCAATCTGTACTTAATTTACTTATGTAGCAAATCCTCACATGTGCTCCACAACTCTAGAATTAAGATTAAAAAAAAAAAAAAAAAAAAGACCATGCTCGGTGGCTCAGCCTGTAATCCTGTGCTTTGGGAGGCCGAGGTGAGTGATTTGCCTGAACCCGCGGGTTCAAGACCCACCTGGGCAACTTGGCAAGACCTCATCTCTACAATAAATCAAAAAATGAGCCAGGCGTGGTAGCGCGCACCTGTAGTTCTAGCTACTTGGAAGGCTGAGGCGGAAGGATCGCCGGAGCCCAGCAGATCGAGGCTGCGGTGGCTGGGAGCGTGCCACTGCACTCCAGTCTGGGAGACAGAGTGAGACTCCAACTCAAAAAGAAAATCCATATAAAATCCATATAGTGTTTAGTAAACCTAGTGTTTCATAAATGCTAAAAAAGGGGTCTTTCCTTTCTGCTTAGTCATCTTTAAATTAAAGTAGTGGTGGTAATGCTGAATTTTTTTTTTTTTTTTTGAGTTAAGTCTCACTCTGTTGCTTAGTCTGGCATGCCATGACACTCTGAAGGCCACCATAGCCTTGACCTGCTGGACTTAGGTGTTCCTTCCACTGCAGCCTTACAAGTAGCTGGAACTATAGGCACGTGTTACCATGCCTCGCTAATTTTTAAATTGATTTATTTAATTAATTAATTTATTTTTTGAGTTGGAGTCTTACTCTGTCACCCAGACTGGAGTGCAGTGGCATGCTCCTGGCCACCACAGCCTCGACCTGCTAGGCTCCGGTGATCCTTCCGCCTCAGCCTTCCAAGTAGCCGAAACTACAGGCGTGCACTACCACGCCCAGCTAATTTTTTTTATTTATTGTAGAGATGAGGTCTCAACAACTTGCCCAGGCGGGTCACGAACCTGCGGGTTCAGTCAATCCACTTACCTCGGCCTCCCAAAGTGCTGGGATTACAGGCTGAGCCACTGAGTCTGGCCTTTGGGTTTGTTTTAGAGACAAGATCTCACCAAGTTTCCCAGGCTGGTCTTGAATCTCTAGACTCAAGTAGTCCTCATGCCTCCACCTCCCAAAGTATTGGGATTACCGGTGTGAGCCACCATGCCCGGCCTTTAAATTCTATTATTTATGAAGAACATTGAAACTTGCTCATCTTATGATGAGCACATAGACATAACTAAGGTTAATGGGAGCCAGTGGAAGTCATCATGTTCTGAAAATCCATTGAATGTACATCATTCTAGTGTTAATGTTGTTAGATTCCTATTACTTTAAGAAAGTGTTTGGCCTTGTAACTATTTATCTTGAACTGAGTAACTCAGAATCACTCATCCTTTGAAATTTACTGAAGTGTAGTCTGAGCTTAGGAAACTCTTATGGTACCTGTATATTCTGAGAGGGAGTTGATATTGATATCTTGATGTTTTTTTGTTAACTGCTAAGTATCAGATGGCCTTTCAGATCATTTCATGTTTTCCTTTTTCATGTATTCCCTCCCAGGATCCCAGGTACCCAGTTGCTTATTAGATTATGGAATTTTTGTTTGTTTGGTTTTTTTGAGTTGGAGTCTCATTCTTGTCGCCCAGGCTGGAGTGCAGTGGCATGCTTACAGCCACTGCAGCTTCAACCTGCTGGGCTTAGGTGATCCTTCCACTTCAGCCTTCCAAGTAGCTGGAACTACAGACAATTTTTTTTTTAAAAGCAGGATTTATTGAGAGGACAGAAAAGCTTCCACAGTGGAAGGGGACTTGAAGGGGTTGCCTGATTATGGAATTTTTGACCAAAACCAAACATGTAAATGCCCTGGAGGTTAAAGGGAACAAGTTGGGTAGTATGAAGGATTTGGTCAGCTCTTATTTATCTCTTGAGTTCTGTAAACTCAGAATGTGAATTTAATACTATGCCTATTTTAATTTTTTTCACTTTTAATCAACTGAATTTCAGATTCAACTGAGCCTATTTTTACAATGTATTTTATTACTATGAAAAATTAGCATTAGACATTAGAATCTGGAATATCAGCTTCTTCTTTTGGGTCATGGGTATAATGCTTGAAGGCTTAGTACTCTCTCTAGGGCCCTACAGCATTATGCTCCTAGATGCTGTTGCTTGACTTAGGTGACTTAAACATGCTTTGTGGCATGATTCATACTGCCTTCTGTGATACCCTTGGGTAGTTACAATAGGACCTGGGTAAGAGCGCTTCTTGGTGTAGAGCTGGGATTTAGGTGTGGCTGGGGTTGATGCTCAGCTGGTGAATAATGGTTGCTCCTACTGGTAATTTGCAACCAGTGTTTCTTCCTTTTGGGCCTCATCCATTTTGATTGTGTGGTGTCTATGCTGTAGCTGTGATAAAATATTTTGGAATGTTATTCCTGGATACAGCGATAAGAAAGACACCTAAAATTTACTGTAAAAAATGTACAATGCATTGATTTTTTTTGGTGTATAGGAATCATCATGTTGATCTTGGAATTCTAAGTTCCCTGGCTTTAGGAAATGAAAGGTTTTATAGCGTGTGACCATTGTTAGCTTATCTGGTATTGCGGATTTTCCCTGTTGCAGGACTGGGTGAAAGCTTTTTCTGCAGCAGTCTGTTGAAAACCTTGTGTTGACTTTCCTCGTGTTCTGAAATGGGAGCATAAAAGTTTACTCCACCACTTCGTCTTAAAAATAGCAAAACTTTTGCTGTTTTCTGCAGATCTAGGACCTTGTTACAGAACTCTGCCAAAAAAAAAATGTATACAGAAGAATGTGCTGTGATTAGAGAAGAATATGCTGGTGTATAGATTTCAAACTCTCTGGACAATATGAATAACACTGTCTTTGTTTCTACAGTGGGAGCCAAGAAGAAAGGTTTGCTCCCGGGTGGAACAGGGATTATCCTCCTCCTCCCCTTAAGAGTCATGCTCAAGAGAGACACTCTGGCAACTTTCCTGGCAGAGATTCACTTCCCTTTGATTTCCAGGGGCATTCGGGGCCTCCTTTTGCAAATGTAGAGGAGCATTCTTTCAGCTATGGAGCTAGAGATGGATCACATGGTGACTATCGAGGAGGGGAGGGTCCTGGACATGATTTCAGGGGGGGAGATTTTTCATCTTCTGATTTTCAGAGCAGAGATTCATCACAGTTGGACTTCAGGGGTAGGGACATACATTCTGGGGATTTTCGGGAAAGAGAAGGACCACCTATGGACTATAGGGGTGGAGATGGTACTTCTATGGATTATAGAGGTAGGGAGACACCTCATATGAATTACAGAGACAGGGATGCTCACGCTGTTGACTTTAGAGGTAGGGATGCTCCTCCATCTGACTTCAGGGGCCGGGGCACTTATGATTTAGATTTTAGAGGCCGGGATGGATCCCAGGCAGATTTTAGGGGGAGGGATTTATCAGATTTGGATTTCAGGGCCAGAGATCAGTCCCGTTCTGATTTTAGGAATAGAGATGTATCTGATTTGGACTTCAGGGACAAAGACGGACCACAGGTGGACTTTAGAGGTCGAGGTTCAGGTACTACTGATCTAGACTTTAGGGACAGGGATACGCCACATTCAGATTTCAGAGGTAGACACCGGTCCAGGACTGACCAGGATTTTAGGGGCAGAGAGATGGGACCTTGTATGGAATTTAAAGATAGGGAGATGCCCCCTGTGGATCCAAATATGTTGGATTACATTCAGCCCTCTACACAAGATAGAGAGCATTCTGGTATGAATGTGAACAAGAGAGAAGAATCCACACATGATCATACAATAGAAAGGCCTGCTTTTGGCATTCAGAAGGGAGAATTTGAGCATTCAGAAACAAGAGAAGGAGAAACACAAGGTGTAGCCTTTGAACATGCATCTGCACCAGACTTTCAGAACAGCCAAAGTCCAACTCAAGACCAAGATAAGTCACAGCTTTCTGGAGGTGAACAACAGAGTTCAGATGCTGGTCTGTTTAAAGAAGAAGGTGGTCTGGACTTTCTTGGCCGGCAAGACACTGATTACAGAAGCATGGAGTACCGTGATGTGGATCACAGGCTGCCAGGAAGCCAGATATTTGGCTATGGCCAGAGCAAGTCTTTTCCAGAGGGCAAAACTGCCCGAGATGCCCAGCGGGATCTCCAGGTATGTTGATGAGGTGGATTGCTTTTTTCGTTTTTTTTTTTTTTTTTTTTTTTTGGGTGGGGGG